AGCCTCCACGTGCCCCTTGACTGTAGCCTCCACGTGCCCCCTTGACTGTAGCCTCTACGTGCCCCCTTGACTGTAGCCTCCGCGTGCCCCCTTGACTGTAGCCTCCACGTGCCCCTTGACTGTACCATCCACGTGCCCCTTGACTGTAGCCTCCACGTGCCCCGTGACTGTAGCCTCCACGTGCCCCCGTGACTGTAGCCTCCACGGGCCCCTTGACTGTAGCCTCCACGTGCCCCTTGACTGTAGCCTCCACGGGCCTCTTGACTGTAGCCTCCACGTGCCCCTTGACTGTAGCCTCCACGTGCCCCCTTGACTGTAGCCTCCACGTGCCCCCGTGACTGTAGCCTCCACGTGCCCCTTGACTGTAGCCTCCACGTGCCCCTTGACTGTAGCCTCCACGTGCCCCCGTGACTGTAGCCTCCACGTGCCCCTTGACTGTAGCCTCCACGGGCCCCTTGACTGTAGCCTCCACGTGCCCCCGTGACTGTAGCCTCCACGTGCCCCCGTGACTGTAGCCTCCACGTGCCCCTTGACTGTAGCCTCCACGTGCCCCCTTGACTGTAGCCTCCACGTGCCCCCTTGACTGTAGCCTCCACGTGCCCCCCTTGACTGTAGCCTCCACGTGCCCCTTGACTGTAGCCTCCACGTGCCCCTTGACTGTAGCCTCCACGTGCCCCCGTGACTGTAGCCTCCACGGGCCCCTTGACTGTAGCCTCCACGTGCCCCTTGACTGTAGCCTCCACGTGCCCCCTTGACTGTAGCCTCTACGTGCCCCCGTGACTGTAGTCTCCACGTGCCCCCTGGACTGTAGCCTCCACGTGCCCCCGGGACTGGTGCCTTCACGGGCCCGGTGACTGTAGCCTCCACGGGCCCCCCTTGACTGTAGCCTCCACGTGCCCCCCTTGACTGTAGCCTCCACGTGCCCCCGTGACTGTAGCCTCCACGTGCCCCTTGACTGTAGCCTCCACGTGCCCCTTGACTGTACCATCCACGTGCCCCTTGACTGTAGCCTCCACGTGCCCCTTGACTGTAGCCTCCACGTGCCCCTTGACTGTAGCCTCCACGTGCCCCCGTGACTGTAGCCTCCACGTGCCCCTTGACTGTAGCCTCCACGTGCCCCCGTGACTGTAGCCTCCACGTGCCCCTGTGACTGTAGCCTCCACGTGCCCCTTGACTGTAGCCTCCACGTGCCCCCTTGACTGTAGCCTCCACGTGCCCCCTTGACTGTAGCCTCCACGTGCCCCCTTGACTGTAGCCTCCACGTGCCCCCGTGACTGTAGCCTCCACGTGCCCCCTTGACTGTAGCCTCCACGTGCCCCCGTGACTGTAGCCTCCACGTGCCCCTTGATTGTAGCCTCCACGTGCCCCCGTGACTGTAGCCTCCACGTGCCCCTGTGACTGTAGCCTCCACGTGCCCCTTGACTGTAGCCTCCACGTGCCCCCGTGACTGTAGCCTCCACGGGCCCCTTGACTGTAGCCTCCACGTGCCCCTTGACTGTAGCCTCCACGTGCCCCCTTGACTGTAGCCTCTACGTGCCCCCGTGACTGTAGTCTCCACGTGCCCCCTTGACTGTAGCCTCCACGGGCCCCTTGACTGTAGCCTCCACGTGCCCCCTGGACTGTAGCCTCTACGTGCCCCCGTGACTGTAGTCTCCACGTGCCCCCTTGACTGTAGCCTCCACGTGCCCCCGTGACTGTAGCCTCCACGTGCCCCTTGACTGTAGCCTCCACGTGCCCCTTGACTGTAGCCTCCACGTGCCCCTTGACTGTAGCCTCCACGTGCCCCCTTGACTGTAGCCTCCACGTGCCCCCTTGGCTGTAGCCTCTACGTGCCCCCTTGACTGTAGCCTCCACGTGCCCCCTTGACTGTAGCCTCCACGTGCCCCTTGACTGTACCATCCACGTGCCCCTTGACTGTAGCCTCCACGTGCCCCGTGACTGTAGCCTCCACGTGCCCCCGTGACTGTAGCCTCCACGGGCCCCTTGACAGTAGCCTCCACGTGCCCCTTGACTGTAGCCTCCACGGGCCTCTTGACTGTAGCCTCCACGTGCCCCTTGACTGTAGCCTCCACGTGCCCCCTTGACTGTAGCCTCCACGTGCCCCCGTGACTGTAGCCTCCACGTGCCCCTTGACTGTAGCCTCCACGTGCCCCTTGACTGTAGCCTCCACGTGCCCCCGTGACTGTAGCCTCCACGTGCCCCTTGACTGTAGCCTCCACGGGCCCCTTGACTGTAGCCTCCACGTGCCCCCGTGACTGTAGCCTCCACGTGTCCCCCTGACTGTAGCCTCCACGTGCCCCCTTGACTGTAGCCTCCACGTGCCCCCTTGACTGTAGCCTCCACGTGCCCCCTTGACTGTAGCCTCCACGTGCCCCCCTTGACTGTAGCCTCCACGTGCCCCTTGACTGTAGCCTCCACGTGCCCCTTGACTGTAGCCTCCACGTGCCCCCGTGACTGTAGCCTCCACGGGCCCCTTGACTGTAGCCTCCACGTGCCCCTTGACTGTAGCCTCCACGTGCCCCCTTGACTGTAGCCTCTACGTGCCCCCGTGACTGTAGTCTCCACGTGCCCCCTTGACTGTAGCCTCCACGTGCCCCCGTGACTGTAGCCTCCACGTGCCCCTTGACTGTAGCCTCCACGTACCCCCTTGACTGTAGCCTCTACGTGCCCCCGTGACTGTAGTCTCCACGTGCCCCCTTGACTGTAGCCTCCACGTGCCCCCGTGACTGTAGCCTCCACGTGCCCCTTGACTGTAGCCTCCACGTGCCCCTTGACTGTAGCCTCCACGTGCCCCTTGACTGTAGCCTCCACGTGCCCCTTGACTGTAGCCTCCACGTGCCCCCTTGACTGTAGCCTCTACGTGCCCCCTTGACTGTAGCCTCCGCGTGCCCCCTTGACTGTAGCCTCCACGTGCCCCTTGACTGTACCATCCACGTGCCCCTTGACTGTAGCCTCCACGTGCCCCGTGACTGTAGCCTCCACGTGCCCCCGTGACTGTAGCCTCCACGGGCCCCTTGACTGTAGCCTCCACGTGCCCCTTGACTGTAGCCTCCACGGGCCTCTTGACTGTAGCCTCCACGTGCCCCTTGACTGTAGCCTCCACGTGCCCCCTTGACTGTAGCCTCCACGTGCCCCCGTGACTGTAGCCTCCACGTGCCCCTTGACTGTAGCCTCCACGTGCCCCTTGACTGTAGCCTCCACGTGCCCCCGTGACTGTAGCCTCCACGTGCCCCTTGACTGTAGCCTCCACGGGCCCCTTGACTGTAGCCTCCACGTGCCCCCGTGACTGTAGCCTCCACGTGCCCCCGTGACTGTAGCCTCCACGTGCCCCTTGACTGTAGCCTCCACGTGCCCCCTTGACTGTAGCCTCCACGTGCCCCCTTGACTGTAGCCTCCACGTGCCCCCCTTGACTGTAGCCTCCACGTGCCCCTTGACTGTAGCCTCCACGTGCCCCTTGACTGTAGCCTCCACGTGCCCCCGTGACTGTAGCCTCCACGGGCCCCTTGACTGTAGCCTCCACGTGCCCCTTGACTGTAGCCTCCACGTGCCCCCTTGACTGTAGCCTCTACGTGCCCCCGTGACTGTAGTCTCCACGTGCCCCCTTGACTGTAGCCTCCACGTGCCCCCGTGACTGTAGCCTCCACGTGCCCCTTGACTGTAGCCTCCACGTGCCCCCTTGACTGTAGCCTCTACGTGCCCCCTTGACTGTAGCCTCCACGTGCCCCTTGACTGTAGCCTCCACGTGCCCCTTGACTGTAGCCTCCACGTGCCCCTTGACTGTAGCCTCCACGTGCCCCTTGACTGTAGCCTCCACGTGCCCCCTTGACTGTAGCCTCCACGTGCCCCCTTGACTGTAGCCTCCACGTGCCCCCTTGACTGTAGCCTCCACGTGCCCCTTGATTGTAGCCTCCACGTGCCCCTTGACTGTAGCCTCCACGTGCCCCTTGACTGTAGCCTCCACGTGCCCCTTGACTGTAGCCTCCACGTGCCCCTTGACTGTAGCCTCCACGTGCCCCTTGACTGTAGCCTCCACGTGCCCCCTTGACTGTAGCCTCCACGTGCCCCCGGCTACCCTGGTGGGGTGCCCACCACACCTCACTCGTACTGTGTCCCACAAACACACTTGGCGCCCAGCCCTTATTATTGTTACGACGAGGAGCACCTCGCTCATCCTCCACTGGCTGAGCTACCGGGGCCCAGAGCTGAGCTATCGGGGCCCAGAGCTGAGCTACCGGGGCCTAGAGCTGAGCTACCGGGGCCCAGAGCTGAGCAACTGGGGCCCAGAGCTGAGCTACCGGGGCCCAGAGCTGAGCTACCGGGGCCCAGAGCTGAGCTACCGGGGCCCAGAGCTGAGCTACCGGGGCCCAGACCTGAGCTACCGGGGCCTAGAGCTGAGCTACCGGGGCCCAGAGCTGAGCTACTGGGGCCCAGAGCTGAGCTACCGGGGCCCAGAGCTGAGCTACCGGGGCCCAGAGCTGAGCTACCGGGGCCCAGAGCTGAGCTACCGGGGCCCAGAGCTGAGCTACCGGGGCCCAGAGCTGAGCTACCGGGGCCCAGAGCTGAGCTACCGGGGCCCAGACCTGAGCTACCGGGGCCTAGAGCTGAGCTACCGGGGCCCAGAGCTGAGCTACTGGGGCCCAGAGCTGAGCTACCGGGGCCCAGAGCTGAGCTACCGGGGCCCAGAGCTGAGCTACCGGGGCCCAGAGCTGAGCTACCGGGGCCCAGAGCTGAGCTACCGGGGCCCAGAGCTGAGCTACCGGGGGCTGAACCCAGGTTCATTCTGAACCCAACTATTACATATCTATAACTCCTCTCCTCATAATCAGTTACTGCCACCAAGTAATTCCCTACACCAGAACCCTTGAGGCGTACCACTAGGTTTATTCTGGAACTTAATGGAAGAACATATGGAAGGTGGTTAAATACATTAGTTAATTCCACCAACTGCTTCTAACAAATGTAAGATCAAGGTTTAACTCTTAACTATTTTTCCTTCTAGGTTGGTGGTTGATGCACTGCCATTTGACTTTCCACTCGGAGCTCGGTATGGCTGCTGTGTTGCACGTTGGTAATCCTTCAGACCTGCCCCCGGTCCCTCAGGGTTTCCCAGCTTGTGGTACTTTCATGCCCCAGTTATAAGGTTATCTGATCTGTCCGCAACTAGAAAGATACTCGTCCATCACGTCAGTGTGACACTCCTCCTGTGACCATCATCAGGCCAGCTCTGAGGAACTTCCAGAAGTGTTCATCGCGTCTCGCTTCCTCCCAAGTGGATCACATCCAATGAAGAAGGATTAGTTAGATATCCAAACATCTGCTTCTCCAGAACTCATTCATTCAGCATTTCTCAACAAAGGTTGCCACGCCAATACTCACGTGTCTCCTGTACTATTTATAAATGCTTTGTGAGCCAAGGAACTTGCACATTAAAGTGATGAAGTAATATTTGATTTCCATCCTTGATTAATAAATACAACAATTATTTAACACTGAAGTGCCATTAACATACAATAATGATTTATAAAATAATTGTGTCCAGTGAGCAAGAAACTGACGGTTGTTAAGACAGAAGATTTAGAGGTTAATATTTAATTGGAAAACTTTACATTTATTAAGTAGGAAAATAAAAGCTACAGATATTATCTTGGGCACTGATATACAAGTTGAGTAACATTACGCACCCTAAGCTGGTGTTGGATGAAGTCGCAATGTTAAGGCACAAAGTCACAAAGTAGAAAGAAAGTCACAATGTCCAGTAGAAAGTACTGTAGTGAATTGAGAGCAAGTGGTATGATCGCCTTCTAATTCAGGCCTTTTTCCACATCAAGAGTCATTAAAGTGGTCTGTGCTTACACGGGATACAGACTTAGACTCATAGATAGGTCTAAGTCTGCCGACGGTGTAGGCTACTCCGTCATATTACGAGACCACACCAATATGTGTCGCCTGCCCCCAGAGTCTATCATCTTCAAGGCAGAACATTATGCAATTGTGTATGCTCTTCGTCAACTGGTTCCTCACTGTCAATCTTCCTTTGTTGTTGTAGTTGACTCTCGCAGTGCCTTCGTGGGTCTGGTGTGGGAAAAGTCTAACTCTCAATATTAATAATAATACACAAATTGAGTACTAAGATAACTCCGAAGGACCACCTCCTTTTATATAAAAAGCAAGAAAAATCAATTAATGTGAAATGACCCAAAGAACCAGTGGTCTATGGACCTAGACTATATCAGTAGAATATTAAGAGCATTAAATGAACTGTAGTTACAATTAATTAAAGAGTTAATTAATTTTAAATTAAGTTACTTAATTAAATTAAATAAACTTCAATTAATTAATTAAACTTAATACATAAATCTGGGGAGTTACATACTTAAAAGATAAATATATCCCTAGTATTATTTCAGCGCTGGTTCTACGCTGAAGTAAATAGTTTGTGAATGCAAATTTGTCTAATTACACATTGAAATATTATATACATGCATAAGAAATGAATAGCACATGTATAAGTAATAAATCATGGAAATAAATCAATTCAGAATGTGATTAAAGTATCTATGAACAATTAGTATGAGGGCTTAGCTGTAAAGACGACTTCACTACTTCACTTCATTTCACAGTTCAAATACTCGAAGAAGTAATCTGGTTGACATGGTTATTGTTGAGAACACAGAGCAATGGAAACCGCATGGAGGGGGAAGATTATCTCGGCTTGTCCTCACAATCCACACTGGAATCACAATAAAATTGTAGAAAATGCCTAGGCTAGTAAATTATTCCACTATTCATAGAAAAGGTGGGGACATAAATACGAGAGAAACTAACGTGGTTCTTGTGGTCTTCTTGCTATATGATGACGAGCAACCTACATGTTAATTTATGTGCGCACACTAAAAAAAAACTAACGTAGGTACTGTCATACTTATTACGCTCGCCGAGATCGTGTCTGCACGGGAGATGTCTCCCGTCACGCAGGGTGCAGCCGCACCTCCACAGATCTGCAGTATCATCTATTGACACTGGTAATGGCTCAAAAGGGCCACCACTTACGGGCTATTCATGCCCGTGCCACCTTTTGGGTGGCTTAATCTCTATCAATCAATCAATCAAGAATTATAAGCAGTATTGCCTGCTTGACCACGTTGTTCTCTCTGTAATAGCGTCCATGTTGCAAGCCTGTGAGTGCGCGTAGCAGAGTGACGCCCTCCTCCTTCCCCCTTGCTCCGATACGCATGGGCAGAACACCTCAAAGTGATCTCGAGCTTAAAATGCTTTATTTACTGGTTATTAATTAGGGAAATAAGGAACCATGACAAGTACTGATGTCACGGATAAATATATTAAATCATAATACCTCTTCTCGCAAGGCAATAGGTTTAATTAACACTGCATAAATTAAACGAGAAGGGTCGACGAGTATTTATTTTACGTCTCAGTAATATTTACTGATGTAATCAATCTGATTAAATTATCGAGTTCAGTACACAAAGGTACGCGAAATAACTATACTCTTTCATAAAGAATAATACTTAGAAAGAAAAAGCAATTAACTGGACTCGATAATATTTCCACCAAACCGTGGAGGATTTCATGTTTCAGCTTGACGCTGAAGGACTAGAAAGAATCTGGCAAAATATTGCCTTACTATAGAAACAATAATTATGTTAATTGTACGTATTAGTGATGTTAGTAAATGCTAATATTAGTAGCTAAAGGAGAATAAACTGTTGGTTATATCCAACATTTGGAGTCTTCTTCTTCTTCTTGTTGATAGTAGGTGCAGTTTGCATGAAGTGTTTGTCCTCCCGATGACTGCACCAGTACTGATGTTGGTGGAGGCGTTTATGTTGAGGATGATCGGAGCTACCAAGGTGTTTGTTGCGTTGTGCTGCAGATAGAGGAACGGTGATTAATTAATAATTATATGACACTATCCCTCACCGGGCAGGCGCGCGGTCAACTTAGGGGTCATGCACCAAGTGTGCAGGCGAGCGTGCGGGGTAAGCGAGGGGTGACACCTAAATGTGTATACTCGTTTCAGCTTTCGCACCTTAATTCTCGTGGTACGTCGCTCGTTTTAGTATCATTGTGTTCGCAATTAAATTCCCTACAGATGTGTATAAATATAATGTACAAAAGCCTGGAGTGCCTCTCCGCAGAAAAGCCTAAAGTTACCCGTGCACGAACACCAATTTGTACCCTGCAACCTAATGTGTATACTCGTTCAATTTGATAACATCAAATTTCGTGTTACGTCTCTCATTTTGATATCAAATTGTTCGCAATAAAAAGGCGCGTATTTTAAAACTAGTCCCATAATAATAGAGCAATAACTGGAATTTTAATAAATATTTTAATTTTGGACGCTCATCATCACAAAATTATTTATATCTTTCCAGTGTTCTGACATTTATTTTTGTGTTACATCTTTTATTTTGGTATCAAATTGTTCGCGACGTAAAGGCGCGCATTTTAAAACTAGTCCCAATATAATAGGACAATAAATATAATTTTAATAAATATTTTATTATTTTGACCAAAAGCCTATTTATAATCTTTCAAGTGTTCGGACATCAAGTTTCATGTTATATCTTTCATTTAGGTATCAAATTGTGCGCAATCTAAAGGCACTTATTTTGATACTATCCCGAGGTCGATTGGATAAAAAATGAATTTTATACAAATATTTTTTGTAGTGGACGCAAGTCCGGTCCAAAGTTAGGACTCGGGAGAAAAATAATGGACGCGAGTCCGGTCCAAGGTGACCGATAGGTGATTAAAACAGAGGTGTGTGTTGTAGGGAGACTTGCAACACACACCTCTGTTTTACATCCAACTCCACATCTGGAGTCATTTAATTCTATCCAATCTGTGGAAGTCGAAATTCAACATTAGCTTTCTCTTATCTCCAGCAGATTTAACAGTCAAATTTTTCTGGGTTCCCATCCATACTGGTGTTTCCTTAAATGAGCTTGCGGATGCTGCCTCTAAGGTGGCTATTCGCACTTTCCCCATTTCCAGCAAACGTGTTCCATATTCCGACTTCTACCCAGTCATTCATTTCTCAATCCGTGCCCGTTGGCAGGGTCGCTGGTCTTCTGTTACTGGTAACAAACTGCATGCTCTTAAGGGTAGCATGTCCCCTTGGCAATCCTCCTACCACCGTAACCGGCGGTGGAAAGCAACTCTGGCGAGGTTACGTATTTGCCATACACGTTTAATTCATGGGTACTTAATGGAGAGCTGCCCTGCTCCTTATTGTCCAACCTGCATTTGTCCCTCTTACAATCGTGCACATCCTTGTTGAATGTTCGGACTTCCAGGACGAGCGTGTGTCTTGCTTCCCGACTGTCCCTCGCGGTCACTTGTCCCTCGATAGAATCCTTGATGAGTCAGATTCCTTTGATATCACTCGCCTTATGCACGTTTGCTCTTGTATTGGCATCCTTGTATTGTATTATCTTGTGTTGGCAAATTTAATGGTGCTACATGAGTCTCCCCAGCCTGGTGCCTTCTTTTGATAATTACTTACTTGGTCTACACAATAGACACAATAGACAGTCCAGAGAGTATTTTAGTTTATGTAGATAAATTGCAGGTTGCGCAGTTTTGGCATTCTTTGTTTTAGGAGATTTAAGAGGACTAGACTAACTACAAATGGCACCGGAATTAACCCGCGTGTGAGAGGCTCCCGCCTGGAGCGATGACATCAGCTTACTCGGGATACAATGAAAAACATTAATGGCAAAAGACATGCGTTGTCCCGTTGTGGCCTGAGTGAAAGAGGCAGTTGTACATAAGTGCAGTAATAATCTATGTATGTATGTATGTATGTATGTATGTATGTATGTATGTATGTATGTATGTATGTATGTATGTATGTATGTATGTATGTATGTATGTACGTATCTATATCTATACATATATATATATATATATATATATATATATATATATATATATATATATATATATATATATATATATATATATATATATATATATATATATGACAATGTCAGACCACGGAGGAAAATGAAACAGGAAATTTCCTTAAGTACTTTCGTATATTAAATACATCTTCAGAAGGAATGAAGATGTATTTAATATACGAAAGTACTTAAGGAAATTTCCTGTTTCATTTTCCTCCGTGGTCTGACATTGTCACATTCTTAATCACGTGTTTATTTTCGTGATATACACACATATATATATATATATATATATATATATATATATATATATATATATATATATATATATATATATATATATGAATGAAAACTCACACCCCAGAAGTGACTCGAACCCATACTCCCAGAAGCAACGCAACTGG